GACGGACAGCCAATCGTTACCTTGCCAAGTTCGTCACTACCCCGCCATACTCTTCTGCCATATTCTGGTAGTTTTGCACCTTGCCGGCCGGATTTCTGATTCTTTTTGCAAACTCGACGGAACCGTTCTCATTGTTAGCCTGCGAGACAAGTGTTTCCTTAATGAAAATGATTGATGCGACAATCGGCATGATTTAAAGACGATGCACACGGATGAGGATGATATTGTATAACTGTCATGTTACTCTACAGGATTCTAGTTTGCAACAGTGGCGAAGCAAAAGTCGGACAGGTCGATTGTTTAGAAAGCCTGACAGTGCCATACATTGGAATCCAGAACATAGACCTAACACCCAACAAGGGCCAAAGCCATTGGAAAAACTTTCTGATACAGTTGTTCCCGCAATGAATACGTAACTACGACACTCAGGCATATTGCTCAAATTGCTTCTCACCGTTAATGCACTCTGTATGCGTGTACATCAAACTTTCTTTCTGAAAATTTGTCAAGTCTAGAAACTATATTAACTATTTCTACAATAACGAAAAATAATGTGACGAAAATCCAGGGCCGTGCAAACGATTATCATAAGATGTAAATTAATACCGATGGACATACGTCATTTGCCTGGTCCTGGACACCGGTGTTTTCTCCGCACTCCAATCGTGCCACTCTGCTTTTTCTGAAATTGAACATTCGTTGAGCTTTCGACGGCGCGATGTTCGGCGATTTCAGAGCTTTGGCAATATCCTGGCATTTTCGAACCTGTTCCAGAACTTGTTCACCGTAAGATTTTCCTGAAGCGAACCCTCAGTGAGAGTAATTCGTCCTATCATATTATGGAGTTAAAAACTGTTATTTTACAGTGCTTACCAAATTCAGTTGATGAAGTGATGAAGCCAGATGAACTAACTACAGAACAGGACGCAGTTACGAATAGCCGGGATTTTAAAATGAGTACTGCGGCTCCGTGACCACCTTTGTTGAGGGTTGAATCTACAGTGACATTCGTACCACTCATACCGGTCGTGCAGGGTTCCCTTGAGAGTGATTGAAATAACAAAACGAAACATCGCGGTATAATATGATATATGGTCTTCAAGTCTCTTACGGCTTTGTTGTGCATTTACATTTTTAAACATTTTACACCAGGGATTGGCGAAAATGATTGCCTCGGAAACGAGCCAGATATGGCCCAGAAATGAGCTATTTTATGATAAAATCGATATCCCGCATAATCCCACGGAGACCACACGTTTTATTATGCTATATTACATATTTTAATCACTTTTCAATCACACTCAACGGAAAATAGTGCGGATAAACATCACTTTACATGGAACCATGTGATTATGGAGTCACAGTACACGTCGTAAAATCCCGGCTGTTCCTAGCACCGTTACTTACCTTCTGCAGTTCATCCCTCATGATCCTCTCATTGATTGACTTTTGATGACACCGTGTGTTTCGTCTGCCTGCTCTGAGAGCTCCGATTATCACAGGATGACTTCTGCATTTACTCTCCTGATATTTTGCATTTTCATTTTCCATTCTTGATATTTTAGTATCATTTCTCTTCCCTCAAAAATAGCCTTTTCGTCATTCGGCATGCTGTCAACGATGTGTGCCCGTCTTTTCGGTGTGTCTACCAATGCGATATCCGGATGATGAGTCGATGCTTCCCTCTCAGTTCGTATTGGAAAATGTCCTACAGTATTTTGCGTATTTTCCCTTGCTCGGTCTCTTTCACAGCATTTGCTTGATGTTCCCACCACTGCTTTGCCACTGGTAAGTCGGCTGGCTTGCAGAAATGCGATGGAATATCCTTGCGAGCGTTTCGCAGTCGGAAATTGAATGAGTCACGACCCCATCTCTCACTTTTTGCATTCTGCACGTTGCTTCTACCTGCAGGATCTTGGTTTCGTATGAATTATTTGCGTACGTTCAATGTTTGATTTTGGGTAGCTTTGGGAAGGGCTTCCGTTTCGACATGTAGTCCATTTCTTGAAAGTCTGGATGTTTATGTGTTCATCGAGCCG